AAGAGTGTTGTTGAGGTTGACTGAAAGAGGTTCGTTCTAGGTTGCTTCTGAACTAATCAAAGGCCTTTTAATTTGCTCCACCCTCCAAATCAGATACACATTTGCACTCAGGTAAAATACAGTTTGTTTTGGCTTAGTATATCATTTCAAGCCAACTGCTAGAAATTATGATTAAGCACAACATAGTCTAAGGTAATAGGAGAAAAGACTGGATGAGAACAGCAGTTAAACTGTTGGGCCAGCACTTGGGAAACTCAGATTCAAATTCATAGTCTGCTACAGAGATTCACTGGGTGATTTTGGGACAGTCACTCACTTTTTAGCCCAATTTATCTCATGGTGTTGAGAAGATGGAGTATTCTATATGCTCTGAACAAAAAAACCAAACAAACCAGGATGTATATTAAGCAAATAAATACTTGGTCATTATATAAGAGAAAACACTCTGCATTCACCCTCTATTTCTTTTTCAGTAAATAACCATTTACTTGCAATTTATTGTAGATAGATAAAGGGAACATATCTTCATAACAGCATACATGATGACAGCTGAAAAAATATACAAGAAAAATGATCCTTTATAGTAAATGGCAAAGTTCTTTAAACAATCAGTTTCTGAACACCAGGATTCAATTAAGCATTGCTGCTTGATTCAGAGATATCTATCTGGATCTCACTGAATAGATTCAACATGTCAACCTTCTCTTCTTCAGATCAGGTTATGGGCTAGAAACCAGTTTTGATAAAGAAATTTCGATCAATCCCTAATATTGATCAAAGCTATTTGTGCAAAAAAATAATAATACATGGTCCTCTTTCCTCATTTACCAAATATATTTTCATTTTTTTAGAGGAACCTATACAAGAGCTCCTCTTCTTACTCAGTGGGATTTCAATTTTCATTCCAAACTGAAGGAAGAAAAAGACTAGCTAGATGTGAAAAAATCAGGCCAATTCATCCATTTTCTTAAAAAGCCACTGCTAGCTATATAGAAAAGTGTCAGTTAACCAACCTTATCTTAAAACGGGTGTGTCAAACTCGTAACGTCACATGACATGTCGCGACATATCGTGGCTTTTTTGCCATTGCTGGCAATGGGGTGGGCGCGGTTTCGCTATGATGCATCTGGCCGGTGGACTTGCACCCCTGTCTTAAAATGACAGTACTTAGGAGACTCTTATCTAAATATTTCAAGATAAGGAAAGTTGCTAGACTACCTCTGCTGGCAAGAGATCAGAGCTATTTGTAATTAAACACCTTGAAAAGCTGAAGTCTCATTGGAAGCTAAGGGAAATACTGATGAACATCTGTCAACACTTAAGATTCATTTGGTTAAGAAACTAGTGCAAGAAAGGAACTATTTGTGACAAAGTAAAATTTAAGATAATCTGAGGATGCTGCATTACTGAAATAAGAGATGGGGTCAGATTGAAAATTAGTGAAATATCTGGCCCATTCCTCTTGTTTTCTGTAGGTCCAAGAGGTGGAGGGGCAGATTTCAAAAACATATAAGCCTCTATTAGGAAATATTTTAGGGTAGTTAACAATATAATAGAACAGCTACATGGTGGTAATAGCTTCTTTAAACTTAACAAGAGTTCCACAATCAATCTTTATAACTATGTACTTTCACTTTTTTCCTTATTGCTATATACCTGGCCAGGTAGCATTCAGATACCGTCATCCTGCCAATACTTACTTGAAACAAATCTCTCTGGGTCCAGTTAATCTACTTCAGATAATAATACTTAACACTTCCCTACTGCAACCAGTGAGTACAACAGGATGTAGTTTATCTGTCATGTTTTATAATTAAGATTTATTGTGTTTAACTTTGAAGAATCCATATCTTAAGTAGCTAATTCTCAGACATTCAAAAAAATTATACCATATAATATCTTTGTTGGGGGTGGGACTGGAGGTAGACTCGTTACTAGTATCATATTTATAGTAGGGAACACTTGTTTCTTTAACATGGACAGTTTTTCTGCTTTTCTCAGTGCTGGGAAAAGCATGTTGAATTTCTGATTATAAACTGGGGGGAAAATCAGCCTTATTTACTAAAATAAGCACTCACTTATTACAGAAGTAGCTTCAGCTATATGCGCCTCTTAGATCTGAGATCTAGGAAAGTTGATTTCTGCTAAGTCAAATTGTTTTTGACCTTTTCTAAACCATGCTCAGTTGGATTGATCCAGACTCAAGACACACACATAAGCCCTAGATCCTAAATAGGTGGTTTCTTTATTAAAAGTAAACATATAAAAGTAATATGTGATTGCTTTCTATATCTGTTCTATTGCTATTACTATGATATTATTGCTAACTACTATTAAAATTACTATGCTATTGCTATTCAATATATTATACTCTATTACTTTTACCTATTAAAGGTAAAGATTTACATGTTCAGATGTTTCCAATTGCAAGGGATGGTGCTCATCTCTGTTTCTTAGCTGAGGGAACCAGTGTTGTCTGAAAAAATTTCCATGGTCATGTGGCCAGAATGACTGTACATAGAGGCGCATAGAATGTTGTTATCTTCCCACCGAAGTGATACCTATTTATCTACTCACGTTTGCATGCTTTTGAACTGCTAGGTGAGCAGGAGTTGGAGCAAGTAATGGGAGCTCATCTCATTATGTGGCGCTCGGGTCTCAAGCATGAGCTGTCAGCTTTCCAGCTGACAAGCTGGTTGTCTGTAACTGTTGAGGCATTGTGCCCCCATTACTTTATTACAATTGCCTAAATAGGTAGTCCTCGACTTATGACCACATTTGGAGCAGAATTTCCATTACTAAGGTGAGTTATTCCCAATTTTTGTGACCTTTTTGCCAGTTTTTAAGTGAATCACTGCAGTTGTTAAGTGAATTACATGGTCATTAAACAAATCCAACAGCCTTCATTTATTTTTCTTGTCAGAAGCTGGCTGTGAGGGTTGCAAATGGTCATCAAATGATCCTGGGATGCTGCAACCATTATAAATATATCCCAGATGCCAAGCATCTGATTTTTTTTATTCTGTGTCTGTGGGATGCTAGGATGGTTGCAAATGTGCGTATTGGTCATAGGTAACTTTTTTCATGTCTTTTATTTTGAACAGTCGCTAAACAAATAGTTGTAAATCCAGGACTACCTGTAAACTATGCTCTATCCTATTACTAGTATGCATCAACAATGGCCAGCATGTAGAACATTTTTTACCATTTTTTACATTGTGCTTTTTCTTGCTGGGCTTCTATACATTTCTTCTCTTTTGGACCATCCATTCCTTCTGAAAGAAAAAAACATTTTCTTTCATTTGGCTGCTTGTCTAATTGCTGATGGTTGCAGAATTGCAAAACACATGTCTCCCATGCCCCCCTTCCCCCACCTGTAACAAAATAACAGAATAACAGAATTGAAAGGGATCTTGGAGGTCTTCTAGTCCAACCTCCTGCTTTAGAAGGATACCTATACCATTTCAGACACATGGTTGTCCAATTTTTTTTAAAACCTCCAGTGTTGGAGCATCCACAACTTCTGGAAGCAAGCCATTCCACTGGTTATCAGTGGACTATCAGGAAATTTCTCCTTAGTTCTAAACTGGTTCTGTCCTTTATTAGTTTCCATCCATTAATTCTTGTTCTGCCCTGGCTTTGGAGAATAGGTTGACCCCCTATTCTTTGTGGCAGCCCCTTAGATATTGAAACACTGTTATCATGGCATCCCTATTCCTTGTTTTCACTAGACTTACCCTTCCTGCAACCATTCTTCATATATTTTAGCCTCCAGTCCCCTAATCATCTTTGTTATTTTTCTCTGCATTCTTTCTAGAGTCTCAACATCTTTTTCATATCATGGAAACCAATACTGGATGCAATATTCCCAACTATTCCCAAGGCATTATAATGTGGTACTAATGTTTTACATCATCTTGATTCTATCCCTTGTTAACAGTCTAGGACTGCATTGTTTGTTTGTTTGTTTGTTTTGGCAGCTGCAGCACACTGCTTGCTCATTTTTAAATGATTGTACACTAGAACTCTAGAATGCCTCTCCCTGTTACTATTGAGCCATGTACCACTATCTTGTACCTGTGCATTTGATTTTTCTAGACTAAATATAGAGCCTTATTTTTCTCACCATTGAATTTCATTTTGTTAGATACAGTTCAGTGTTCAAGTCTACCAAGATCCTTCTGTATCTTGAGTCTATCTTCTGGAGTATTGGTTATTCCTGCCAGCTTGGTGTTGTCTGCAGATTTAATAAGTTGCCCTTCTATCCCCTCGTCAAATTTGCAGCTTTTACTGGCAACTCTGCCCAGCATTTCCCAACCTTAGCCAGTTTAAGATATGTGGATTTCACTTCCCAGAATAGCATTGCTGGCTGGAGTATTCTGGGAGTTGAAGCCCACTCATCTTAAAATGGCTAGGGATAACAGAATAACAGAGTTGGAAGTGACCTTGGAGGTCTTCTAGACCAAACCCCCCCCCCCGCTCTAGAAGGAAACCTATACCATTTCAGACACATGGTTATCCATTCTCTTCTTAAAGCCTTCATGTGTTGGAGCATTCACAACTTCTGGGGGCAAGTTGTTCCACTGATTGTTCTAACAGTCAGGAAATTTCTCCTTAGTTCTAGGTTGTGTCTCTCCTTGATTGGTTTCCATCCATTACTTCTTGTCCTGTGTTCAGGTGCTTTGGAGAATAGCTTGACTCCCTCTTTTTTGTGGCAATCTTTGAGATATTGAAACACTGCTATCATGTCACCCCTAGTCCTTCTCTTCATTAAATTAAACATACCCAGTTCCAGCAACTGTTCTTTATATATTTTAGCTTCCAGTCCCCTAATTATTTTTATTGTTCTTCTTTGCACTCTGTCTAGAATCTCATGGCGACCAAAATTGGATGTAGTATTACCAAAGCATTATAAAGTGGTATTAACACTTCATGTGATCTTGATTCTATCCTTCTATTAATGCAGCCTAGAACTATGTTGGTTTTTTTGGCAACTGCAGCACACTATCATATTTAAGTGATTATACACTAGGACTCCTAGATCCTCCTCACAGTTACTATTATTGAGCCAGGTACCATCTATACTATATATCTGCGCATTTGGTTTTTCTTGCCTAAATATAGAGGAAATGTAGAGGAGGAAAAGAGGGCAGCACAAGTACCTGCAATTTTGTTCAAGCTCCCTTGAACATGCTGATGGCTGCAGCGCTGGAGGCTTTCAAGCAGGTTTTCCAGCTGCAGACAAAGCAATTGGACTGAGACTTGCCTGAAAGATCCCGGTACCCACCTCCAATTAGTTTGCATAGGGCACATATAATGCATGGTAACATTTGACACTGATACTGATGAACCTGCCAATCCATTTTAACCATAGAAACTATAGACAGTGAAGCATTTACTTTACCATAACATTTGATTCAAATTATGGAAGAGGTTAGCGAAAGCTAGTCCAATATCCTTTTTCCATCAATGCCTAATTATTATTTGCTGGAAAAAATTGTGGAGACTTCAACATTAATGGTACCGTGCCAAAAAAAAAAAAAAGAGGGGGGAGACACTCTCATGTTATATTGCTGAATGTAAAGTTTATCAGTCTAGAGCAAATGTGAAGCATCCCTAAAGACTTTTTGCAAAGCTTATCATGGGGAATGCTGGAAGTTGCCCTTTAGCAACATCATGAGAGCAACAGATTTCTCAACCCAGGAGGTGTATATAATTACTTCATTATCCAACAAAAACTATAGCAGCTTCTCTTTGGATTCCAGCTTTGGAATGCTTTTATATATTAATTTCTTCCAAATATTTTCTAAGCTTTTACTCTAAACCTATATCCACAATGGTTGAGTAATAAATGCAAATGTATTTCTGGATGGTACCATTTATAAATATAGCCACTGTGACTGTGCTTATCAACTACAGTGCAATTGTTTAGGCATAAGCTACACTTCAGTTACTGAAATTATGCAGACAAATTACATGCTACTCAAAATGTTTAAATTACAGTTGGCCCAGACAGTACTCTAGTTGCTAAGGGGGATTGTTGTCATCTATGTTCCTGGCAGAGGCACTATGCTACCAAAGAACTAAATGATCTACATACTGTATCATGTAACTTTGCAATTCCTTCACACAGAGCATTTATGAGCGACAAGGTGGCAATTCTCACCAGAGTAATCCTTTTCCTCTTGCACTTACTTTCATTGTAATAAGCATGCCTTTGCATAATGCACAGGAGGCAGATAGCTGTTTCTTCTCTCCCTCAGACACACAATGGTAAAATATGGGGCTCTCCTGAGAAGCCAACTTGCAAGAAATTTAGGATAAATAAAGTCAATTTCTTTTGACAGTTCTTAACTAACCTATAAAGTTTTTTCCACAAGATATAATAAAAAGTCCTATTTTAAGAAGAGACAAATTTATAAGCAGGGTTCTCTTGGTACATTTAACCATAGTGTGTTTTATTTGTCTTATTTTTCAGCAACAAACACTATTTATTTACAAATCTTGTTTTAAACATAGCTTGTCATTAAGTTTAAAATTATAATTCTGTAGTATTTATGCTCTGGCCATTTCTTTTTTGTACTAGTAGAAAACAGGAATTCTTTTTAAAATTCAATTATATCGCTCATATGTTACAACTCTATTAAAAAGTTGGTTTACTGTCAAGTTGAACCTTGCTCAATCAGGTGTATTTTTTGAAACACTGGATATCAATTCCCAAACTTCCCAAGTTTTATGGGAGCCAAAGCCCAACTTACTCAGATAGCACCATTATTGCAAAACAGATACTGGGATAGATAGATGTTGGTCTGGTCCAGCAGGCTCTTGTTATGTTCACTCTGGCTGACCTTTTCCATTTATTGAACCTTCCTCTTCCAAGAGGAAGATGCAGGAATCCTGTCTTCTTTTGCATATGTTCATCCTACCCTGCCCACTTTTGTTAACAACATATTCTACATAGCATTACTTTGTCATTAAGTTCCTGATGTAAGAAATGAGCAGGGGGGTAATATAACCATAGCTATAATTTTTTAAAAACTTACCACATTATCTATTTGCCAGCCATTTCTATTGTACTGCATTTCTGTTGAGATATCTGTAGCCTCTGTACTCACTTGCACAATTCACACTTCTGTTTAGATTCACTTATTCACACTCTGTCCTTTAAGCTTAATTGACTTCAAGAAGCTTTTTTTATTTATATAGTTCTTTTTGCCCTATAATTAAGAGAAAGTGCTGTTGTTTAACCAAAATGTAAACTCTTCCCTTTCTCTCATTTTAAGACTCGTGTAATACAAATTTTATTAAGACAAATAAAGTGACTGGGAGATGGGGGTTAGGGGAAGTCTTTCTCTTTTTCAGTTTCATATTTTACCCAGCTGATTGCTATTTATTATTAAAATTTTCAGACCTATCATCACTTCCATTTCCTACAATATTTTATGGGATAACTAAAAAAGAGGATTTACCTTTATAGAGCAATGTTTAACCCAATCATTCCCAGTCTAGTGCCCTCTATAACTGTTGGTCTACAGCTTTTATAAACTCCAGCCAGAAAGAATAGAGCTGTCATTTAGTGAACATGAAAGAGATCAGGTTAGAAAAAGCTGCTCTAAAACATATGAAGTAAAATAAACTGTTTGACAGTAGCTAGCAGAAGGTTAACCCGAATTAAAAGTAAGGTTTTTAGCAGTTATCTGGATTTTGAGGTGAAAGTCTATGTTCTTCCTGAATGAATTTGACAGTGGTTAAATTGAAGCAGAAGGGTTTTTGTTCCAAAAGCAATGGAAGAGCAGAATGGATTGTGCATATTTGTAAGGAAAGTCTTATTGGGTTGTCCAGAAACAACTCACAATATTTTGGCACCATAGACAAAAGAAGCATAGTGTTGAAGGACTATGGTATTAATGGTATTAATGGTATTCTAAGGAGAGCCAGTTTGTGATTAAGGCATCAGGCTAGAAACCAGGAGATTTCTGCCTTAGAGATAAAGCCAGTTAGGTGACTTAGGGCTAGTTGCTCTCTCTCTCTCATCCCAGGAAGAAAGTAATGAAAACCACTTCCCAAAAAGTTTTTGGGTTTTCAAAAAAAAAAACCTGGACACACTAGTCCTAGTAGTTGCTATGAGTCAATGTTATCTCAAAGATATGCATATATGCACCCACACAAGATCTGTTACACAATCTAAACTCTTTTACCCTGCTTTTTTAAGTTGGGCTGGTTTGAGGTATAGTTAACTGGGTTGATCTTGGTTTTAATGTTATATTAAATTGTCCTCTTCCTTTTTAGGGGACTGAACATGGAATCAGAAGAATGTGCTGAGAAGAGGGTTGCACTAAATTTCAGAAGAAAAGAAAGTAGATTTCAAAACACATTATACAACCACTATAGTTTTGCTATTGCTTAAAAAACAAGAGCAATTTTCAAAGTAAATTTCCAGAAACATGAAGGCAAATTATCTGTTGTATAATCTAAGTAAAGAAGTCCTATGTTAGGAAAGTAGCTGATGAAAAACCTGTAGCAGCAGCAGTAGTAGAAGTAGTAGTAGCAGCAACAGTAACAGCAATAGTAGCAGCAGCAGCAGCAGCAGCAGAGCAACAACAGGCTTTCTCCTAGAGATGTATTTACAGTTCCTTCTTAGCACGATGACAATGTTGCCTGTAATATCCTGAATCAAAAATGACTGCCTGATAGCACTCCCTTATTTATCCCCACACTTGCTATTTGGGGTCTGCTTGTCCTGGGTATGTTCCTTTGGACGATCCAGCAGATGTAACTCAAGAACACAGTGCTATGGTTTCAGGAAGGCATCTTTGTGCCCTTTTGAGTCACATAAGGATGGTAGATAACAGAGTAAAGGCAAATTAAAAAAGCAGAAAGAAAACACTTTTTCATGACTGATTGCAACTCCAACTTACAAAAGAACAATATGGCAGAATAGATGTTTGTTGAACTGCCTCTTTGCAATTTAATTCATTTTTCTTACTATATAGTCTGATCCTTTGGCAGCTCGTTGTAATTAGTCCCATTCCAAACCCTTCCCTCTAAATTAACGTGAAGCATATCTTTGAACCCATTACTAGTTTTTAAGCACAACAACAGATCAGACTTCTGGCTCATGGCCTTATTATGCAGAACTTTCAAGTTAAATATGCTGAGGTGAGGTAAGGAAAGGCATCTAGCAGGCAAGAATTGCTTGGGTGGATGAGATGATCACACTTGGGTCACAAGACGTTTGTTGGGAACTTCTGAATTGCCTGTAAGCACCATACCATCTAGAAATTCTGAACTGGGTACAATAAGTTCTTTATCCCCATGTTTCTCCCTATGTAGAGCTTTCTCATGGCTATGAACTTTCCTTTGGATGGCAGCAAGTTCTGGGGATGGTGGTGGGGTATATGGGCATGTTGTAATGTGGGTGTATTGACCTTGATCCTCACAATCAGTTTCTCGGTGATAAAAGTAGCTGAAGTTGGAGACAATGACAGGTACTGGAAGCGAGATGGTGAGTACTCCAGCAATGGCACAAAGAGACCCCACAATTTTGCCTCCAATAGTTTCAGGGTACATGTCACCATATCCCACAGTTGTCATGGTAACCACAGCCCACCAGAAGGCAGAAGGGATGCTGGAGAAATTTGACTGTTCATGATCAGCTTCTGCAAAATAGACAGCACTGGAGAACAAGATGACTCCAATGAAGAGGAAGAAGATGAGCAAGCCCAGCTCCCTCATGCTGGCTTTAAGCGTCTGACCTAGGATTTGCAATCCTTTGGAGTGTCTGGAGAGTTTGAAGATTCTAAAGACTCTCACCAACCGGATGACTCTGAGGATAGCCAATGACATGGCAGGTTGGCTTACCCCACGCTGGCGTGCAAACTCTGTACCAAGGGCAACAAAGTAAGGTATGATGGCTATAAAATCAATCATGTTCATGATATTCTTGAAGAAAGCTGGCTTACTTGGGCAGGCTATAAGTCGCACCAGGAGTTCAAAGGAGAACCAACAGATGCAAATGGTTTCCACAATGAAGAAAGGATCTTCAGAATTAGATTGTGGTGGCATTGGGTGCATCACACTGCTATTCAAATGATGATGGACAAGCTGGGGAAAGGAAGAAAGAAAAACAGAATGACTTTGTTAATGTGACTTAATTAACCTGAGGGAGGTGAAAAATGAGTGTTATAGTACAAAACATTGATTTCAATTAAAAGAGATGGTCTAAACTGGTGAGTGCACTAAAGCAAGTTTTTTCAAACACAACTTTAAGATGTGTGGACTATCGTGAACCAACACCACCCCGGAAGTGGTGCCATAGAAAATCCCGCCAAATGTGAAGATACCAAAGGAGTACTGCTAGTGAAGTTCATGGAATGTGGTTTGACCATTAATTCAGAAATCTACTGTGAAAAATTACGAAAACTCATACGAGCCGTCCATAACAAGCATCAGGGCATGCTGACTTCCGGTGTGATGTTGGTTCACGATAATGCTCGCCTGCACACCGCAAGATGCACCCAAGAACTTCTGAAGCAGTTCCATTGGCATGTTTTAATCACCCCTCCCATAGCCCAGACTTGGCGCCGAGCAACTAAGGAATTTCAAACCTTGTAAGATGTTATGACAAGTGCCTCAATTTGAATGGTGATTATGTTGAAAAGTAATGTTGTAGTTTTTTAATCTGTATAATAAATGTTCTGTAACTGTGAGTGTCTGTCATTGATAATCAAATGGAGGTTTATTTCCGAATTGCCTTCATATATAAAGATGTTAAAAATTTAAATATTCCGCCATTCTTACTTTGCCAAGTGCAAAACATTAGCACTAAGCAGCTGCCTTTGCCCCTGGTAATAGCTGTATCCAGGCTGGTATCCACCCATCACTCAAATTAATCAGTTCTCTGAGAGAGAGGGTAAGATGGCTACAAATCATAACGTAATTACTTGAAATCTTAGTGTAACTGAAGAAGTATACACAAGTGTGTATTTATTCTATCCTATCCTATCCAATCCAATCCAATCCAATCCAATTTTTTATATTTGATGTCCACCCATCTCACAGAAAAGTGACAATATTATACCTTCAAACTTAGATTGGTGCATTAATATGAATCAAACAGTAAGAATGGAAGGAAAATTAGTAAGTTACATATTATTATGAGATAGGAGGAAAAAATAATATGAAAACTGATATGCTCCAAACTTAATTCAAGACAACAGATGGGAGGGGGAGGGGAGACATTTGGAAATGGGTGGCAGAGAATATGGGATACTATGTTGGTCCAGTTATTTGCAGAAGGAATCAAATTAAAGTGTGCCTAAAGGCTGGAGAAAAGCAGAATGTCAAGGTCAAATGTTTCTCCCATCTCTGTCCTCTGGTCAGCTCTGATTTCTTGCCTCTCTAATTTTGACTTCTGTAGTGGGTCCTGCTTGCTCTGCAAATGAGGGAAGTACCTGTTAGTTGTGTGGAATTTCTAAGATCAACGTGGATTTGGAAAAACTCCAGGACTGGGTCTGTCTGTCTGATATCTGTTTCTAGAACATGTTGAGAATATTTGTTCTGCACCTCTATATGTTCATATTCCTGGGCTCAGGATATAAACGAGAGTATTTTTACTTTGCATTTTCTACACAGTCTTTTTTATTTCATTAGTATTCCATCTATCCTTCAGGAAGTTCATAGCAAATCCACTGAACTGTTACTAGCAAACGAACTACATTAATTGCCTTCAATCCGCTCTCTATAGCTCAAATCACATTATATCCTATTTTCTATTTAGATGTCTATTAATTAAATTAGCATTATCTGTCTACCAGAGGAGGGTATCAGCAAACTTAGGAAAATGCCAGGCCTTGCAGAAATGCACAAAATCTTCTGGGTGATGGTGGTGGTGGTCAGAATGCCCAAGAGGCAGAAAGCTCCAATTGGAATTGCCTATGTTAAAATGGGGGAAATGTAAAATCCAAAAGTCAGGGATGGAAAGACATATGCTAGAAAAGAGTGCAGTTGCCTGGCACCACAATATAGTTTTACTTTTCATGTCAAACACACATTTTACATAGTAGTTCAAAATTCTAACATCTATTAGTTTCTGTGCTATACATTTTTACTTTTTGTGGATGATTATTTTTGCCTCCTCTGATCTTTAAAAGATATTCCAATACATACTACGTAGGTTATATAGTATATATTGGGATAGATTTACTAACTGTAGGTCCATATGATGCTACTGTACAACTATTTTATCCCTCTTTTTAAAATCTCCTTCAGTTGTAAGAGACTATAGATGCATACTTAATTTCCATCTCCTAATGTACATTCACAAAAATCCTGCAAGATAAACTTGAAATAAATAAATGATACAGAATTTTATTTATTTGTATCCCACCTTTATTATTTTTAGAAATAATTCAAGGTAGTGAACACTTCCACAATTCAAGACTATAGGAAAAGAGAGAAAAAAACTTAGCTACCTTTAAAAAAAAGGTTTATAGTGAACAAACAAAATGTGGCACTCAGCACACTTAAAACGTGACCACTGAAAACAGGCAATTTTTTTGCTGGAAAAGTCACCCACATGGGACTCTGAGCAGGATTAGGATGATAATGTAGAGATTCATCCTCATCAGTACACAAATGTGCTTCCTTCCTCTCTTTGATGAAAAAGATATTGAAATAACTCATGCTGACCCACAGCCTAGCATTACTGCATATCAGCAAAAAGGAAGACACTGTAATACAACGAGGGGTGGTATCAAATTAGCAATGAGTGGTTTTTCAGTTGTCCTTCTCCCTTCCTATATTTCCTACCATCAGGAAAACCAGCCATCCATTTTTCTGCTGAACATGTGCTGGAGAAGGGCAGCTTGGAGGTGGGACCACCTGCAGCAACAGTCAGTGGCTTCAAAAAATGGAGGGAGCAACAGGGTGATCTAAGTCCTATCCCTGTTTAATACAAATCACATGGATTGCACATACATAAAACTGTGCTAAATGTCAATGGCTTAGTTCTGCTTGCCATTTTGAAGCCCTCAACCATCACTGTGGATATTCCTGGCTGGGCATTCAAGATTACTACTACTACTACCCTACTACTACTTTACTACTATTATTAGTATAATAGTTGTTATTAATCATCGCATAGTCAGCTAATTGTTGATCATCGCATAGTCAACCAGATGTTCAGACTGGATTTGGCATTTTTTGTCTACCCATCGTGTCCTTACCAAGGACCTGGGATAGGCAGATCTAGATGTTTGATGGTGTTATAGATATCATCACAGGATGGAAGCTATCCCCAGTAAAGCCGCCTATTCCAATTGACTGGTGGGGAATTTGTCAATGCTAATGATGTTCAAGTGGTGCTCCAGTTGTTTTGGGATTGCACACAAGGCACCTATTACTATTGTGGTACTACCCTTGCTTGCTTTTGCCCCAGTCATTCTATTTCTATCTGTAGATCTTTGTATTTTGTTATCTTCTCCAATTCTTTCTCTTCTCTTCTGCTGTCTCCAGGCTCCCACATCCACTATCCAGACATTTTTGTCTTTCTTATTGACAGTTGTTAAGTCCGGGGTATTATGTGGCAGGTGCCTGTCTGTTTGAATTCTAAATTCCCAGAGTAATTTAACTTTTTCATTTTCTATTACTTTCTCTATTTTACGGTACCACCAGTTCTTGCTTGCAGTCAAATGATATTTCTTGCAGATCTTCCAATGCACCATTGTTGCTATTTTGTCATACTGTTGCTTGTAGTCAGTCTGTGCAATCTTCTTGCAGCAGCTTACCAGGTGGTTCACTGTTTCTTCAGCTTCTTTGCACTTACTGTCCGTTGCTGTCTTCTCAATTCTGGCTTTGTATGCATTTGTTATTAAGGCTTGGTCTTGTGCAGCCAGAATTAATCTCTCAGTCTCTTTCTTTCCTGGTCTTAGACATTGCCAGGTCTTGTTATTATCTGCTTTCCGAGTTATTTTTTTAATGTACTGGCCATGTAGTGCTTTGTCTTCCCATGCCTCCATTCTGTTCTTCATTTGGTCTTTCTTATAGGTCAGTTTGGTCTCTCCAGTAGTCAGTAAGCCTTCCTGATATACTAACTTCAGTGCATTTTCATCATTGTCCTTCAGATATTCTTCCAAAGCCACTTTTTCTTCTTCAACCATCTGATGTACTTGCAACATTCCATGCTCACCTATTTGCCTTGGTAGATAGAGTCTGTCAATGTCACTGTGTTCATTGTCATTATTTTTCTGATCTTTCTATCTATTGCTTTTAGTTCTGCTTGAGTCCAGTCCACTATTCCAGCTGTGTATCTAATTACTAGAATTGCCCAGGTGTTGATTGCCTTCATGGTATTTTCTCCATTGAGTTTGGACTTTAAGATCTTCTTCACTCTCTTGATGTATTCACCTCTATTTCTTGATTTCAGTGTGCTTGATGTTGTCATCTTGAAAGATACCCAAGTATTTGTAGTAATCTTCCTCATCCAAACTTTTAATGTTATTTTTGTGGAGCATCTTGATTCCTTCAGTTTTCACTATTTTCCTTGTTTGATAGTAAGTGTGACACATTTGTCCAAGCCAAACTGCTGCAATAGCTTGGCTATATATACGGACAGTGTTGAGCAGCGATTTTATTTCAGATGATGTTTTTCCATACAGTTTCAGATCATCCATATAAAGGAGGTGGGATAGTCTGGCAGATGTTTTTGATGATTGATAGCCATGGCCTGAGTTATTCAAATATTGTTGACAGAGGAATCAGTGCAATGACAAATAGTAATGGTGATAGTGGATCTCCTTGAAATATTCCTCTCTTGATATTAACTTCTTCCAGTCTCTCACCATTGACCTGCAACTATGTCTTCCATTGTGACATCGATCTTTGCACAAACTTTTTGATGTTTCTATTGACTCTTGTTATTTCTAGGCACTTGATTATCCAGTCTTGTGGCAGAGAATCAAATGCCTTTTTGTAGTCAATCCATGCCACATTCAGGTTGGTTTTCCTTCTCTTGCAGTTTTCCAAGATCATTTTGTCTATTAGGAGTTGATTTTTTATTTTAATGTATTGGCCATGTAGTGCTTTGCCTTCCCATTCCTCCATTC